TGTATTTGTGCAGTAGATGTGTTGTATTTGTGCAGTAGATGTTGTAATAATTTGTTAAATACACCAATGTTCAAGATGATATTTCTATATTTCAATATCCAAGGCTGATGCATCAGAAAAACTTCGGCTGTCAGGTTTGTCTCACAACCATCCTCACCCAGTGCTTGTTACCACCATYCGAGACTGTCCTCTAGTTGCTCCTCCACCTCCAGTTGAGATACCACGATGGAAGCTCATCAGGCAAAAGAAGAAGAAACATCCAGTTGAACCTCCTTTAACACCACCAGAACRACCAAAAGACCCACAGTTCTTAGAGATAACATCACCATTTGTCAACTACAATGTTAGCCCAATACCTGTCAGTAGAGCTAGGTGGGTGTCATTGGTTGATTGTTGTTGCTTTTATTATTATAAAATTGTGAAACAAATTATTGGCTAAGGACAACACAAAGTAATTTATACATCAATTATTGTGTACATCTAATCATTGGACAAAAGTGAGAAAACATTGTTTGTACTTTTATTCAAACTGTAGGAGTATCTCAAGGAAGGGGGTATTTATAATTACAGATAGTCATACATTGTACTTTATTGTCTTAAGAACTCCAGTAAAATGGGTAAAGTACCGACCAGAAAAGCCAATGGGTGAAATTACTGAAGAAGGAAGTAAAGATGACCAGGACAAAGAGCAAGAAGGTGAACAAAAGAAAGAAACAACAGAAGAAACCAAAGAGGTACAACTATTTCTATGTTTATTATATTTCTGAATTTTTACCTTTTATCAAAATTAATGTMAATTGGCAAGAGATTGCTTTAGCATAGACAGAAGTTTCTTGAAGTGTCAAATACTTTGAAAATCAATGAAGTATGGAATGAGCACAAATTTTCCCTATCTGATTATGTTGTTAAACACTTCAAATTCTTTTAAATTCTCTTATCAAGTGATCAATAGTCAAACTCAACTCCAGTTACAACAATTTMACACCATCACGCATGATTGTGTATATCTTATTTCATATTTCAAACGTCCCGGGGGGTACTCCCCTATATTCGCTATATGGGGACGTGCCGCCAACCAGGGTATCATTTTCAGCGATTTTACTCGGGAACTGGGTATCGTTTTTAGCGATTTTACTCTGGAACAGGGTATTGATTTCAACGAATTTTCTCTGGAACAGTGTCAGGGTTTAATTTCGGAATTATTGATGCTGGGTAAAAATTCACGGGGTAAAAATTCAGTCTACGTGCTGTATTTTACTCTGAAACAGGGTATCATTTGCAGTGATTTTACTCTGGAACTGGGTATCGTTTTTTTAGCGATTTTACACTGGAACAGGGTATCGATTTCAATGAATTTTCTCTGGAACAGGGTCAGGGTTTAATTTCGGAATTATTGATGCTGGGTAAAAATTCACGGGGTAAAAATATGTACTGTTATATTTTACTCTGAAACAGGGTATAGTTTTCAGCGATTTTACTCTGGAACAGGGTATAGTTTTCAGAGATTTCACTCTGGAACAGGATCAGGGTTTTGAGGTCCCAGTGGCTGGTTTCAAACGTATGCTGTTTTAATGTTACATCATYTCAATATTGGGTTTTAAGGATGTTGCTCCACCAGACATCTTAGAATCAAAGCAAGATGTTGATAAAGAACCATCAATCAAGGAAAGAGAGAGTAAAGAGATTCGGCTGGGTTCTAAGGATGTCGCAAAATCTCCCAAAGATAGGGTCAAATCCGCAAAAAGTGAGCGAGCAGACAAAGCTATTAAAGGTGAGATAATGTATMMCAGGGACTGCGTTTGATTGTTTGGTGTACCTATTGCTTGTGTATTAGAATACCTACCGTTTGCATACCCAATGTTTGTTTATATCTATTGATTGCATGCCTATTGTCAGTAGTAGTGTACTTGTACCTTTTGTATTCCTGTTGCCAGAGTAACCTAGTGTTTTTGTCCATATATTGCTTGTGTATACCTATTGAAATTATTGTAATTTGTGTTTTTTTTTAATGCACATATTACATTGTTTGTGTGTGGCAAAAGASCTGTTTGTATTTACGATTTAATATAATTATAATACAGTATACTCTTAAATTTTCAACAAAGTTGATAGTCCAAATAAGGCAAAGTCAGGAAGCAAGCTGGTTACTGGAGAAAAGCCAGAAAGAGCAAAGTCAGGTCCATTTAATTCACCGAAAAGTGGCAGAAGAATGTCACGTATGGAAAAGCCAGGAGACTTGAAAGGTAATTGTACCAAACTTTTTGTTCTTGCATATGATATAGATCTATGTATAATATTTAAATGCTTTATATTACTTTTGTTTGCTCTTATTATAACTGAATATACAGACTMGTCTTCATTTTGTTTCAGCTATCAACAGTAAAGAGTCCAGGCGCATCTCTAGAATGGATAAACCAAGTAAAACAGAGCTTGAGAAGGACTCGTCCCATGAGGTACCATTAATTGAAGCAGAGGAAACCATGGCTACTCTTGAGGTACCTACCACTATTAATGGAGATGAGGAAAGTACTGAGGGAGATCCAGGAGGAGATGAGAAACAAGATGGTGAGAAAACTGAAGAAAGTGATGTTAAAGACAAGAAACTGTGGATAGAATTTGATGACTTTTGCAAATGTTTTAGGTTAGTATATTTACATGTAGGTGAATATTGATAAGTCAATTATTATTGCTAATCCTTTTGTATACAAACTTGATTTTAAGGTTAGAGTTGTTGATTTGGTCAGCATTTAGTTGACAGTTATTGATGTATATGTAATTTAAGCATTTTCGGTGTAATAAACCACACCTTTTTTCGTGTTGGGAGAACACGAAAAAGGCGTAAAAAATRTTGAGCCAGACGCAAGAGATTTTCAGCCTTTTGAGTGTTTTCCTAATATCCCATGTGGTTTATTTCACCAGAGAATGCACGAAAATGTCTTGTTTATTGCTTTTATATTGTATAGCATATTTGCATCTGTGTTTTTACCGTTGAAATAAACAATAACATTTGACCGATCAGAGAGCAGGTACTTATGATAGCTATAATATAATATGTAATAATTACAAAATTTAGATGAGTGAATTTGTAGCTGAATTGCTTGAAAAGTGCTCAGACATGTTTCCTTGTAGTTCACCTATTGTAATAATTATAATTAACAATTGATCTGTATGGATGTTTAGGCAAAGACAGTTTGAGTGAAAAATATTTTATCCTTCTCATCAAATCCAACACCTGCTTTGAAGCATTAAAGATCTGTTGCTTTACGTTGCATTCTTATTTTTTTTTTGAACAGCAACTTGTACATATTTCACAAGCCATATACATATAAGTGCACAAAATCTATCATTGAACTAAAGGTATGTTGATAATAATAGTACCACTTATTGAAGCATCTTCTGTGATGTGAATTCTGTTAACCTTATATCTTATCTTTATCACTACACTTGAACAACATGAATCCATGAACCCAGCTTATTTTGAATGAAAACTGTATTTAGCTACTTCTATCTTGTGCCTGATCTACACTCCTCTTGGCCTGCACCAAAAAATGAAAATAATGCTCTCTCATGATCCACATTCATCAATATTTTCATTGCTCTTAATACTACATATTGCAGGCGTGAGTTAAAATAAACTTCTTTTTCCCTCAGAATTGTGTTGCTAATAATGTCAGATCTATTAGCCTTCGTAAAAAASCTCTGCCCGGCAATACAACAGAACACGTAAAATAACCAATAACATATTATGCGCGTGCTGCAACTCATCATATTTAAGCCTGTAAACATTGGAATTCAAAGCTCCTTTCTATATACTGAACCATGGCAATATGTTTCTACCCTGCCCACCTTCCCTAAGTATTACATAAGCACATATTGACCACAGCACGCTCTCCTTCACAGTCAATTTCTCCCATAACTTAACCACACCTAGCTATGAGCAGCTGCATAGCAGCAAAAATTGTTTACGATTTTCATAAGCCATTGGAAAAAGTTCTGGAATTTCATTTTCAACACTAGAATTAGTGCTAAGWGCTTGTTGGGAATGAGAACTTGCTTTGTAAATGATTCTAAAAATAATCACAATCACTTGGCTGGCCCATGCTCCTCTAATACTGGTAAAAGCAGAAAATCTGACATAAAAATATGGATTATGCCAGAGCCCCTTGTTTCTTGGTGCAGACCTAGAGGAGTGTGAGATCTGGAACAACTTATAAAAGATATTGTCAATTATGCATAATTTTCTTCTTCTGGCATGTGGAACTTGTTCATTTTATCTTTAATTCTTTGATTTTGTCTTCTTCTAATTACACTGTCTCTTCTTCCATTATTTGACTGGTAATCAGCATTATATTGAAGCACCTGCACCATCTTATCCTTCACCTGAGGTAAACTGTTCCTCCTTTCTGTCTGTCATGCTCTTTTTAGCATGTGTGCTTTTCTTTTTAAAGTTTCCATTTGGGTCTTACTGCCATCTGGATATGCTTGCCATTTATGCATGCAACATTTCTTCATTACCAGCTGCATGTTGCTATTCATTGATGAGGAGCGGTTTGCTCCTTTTGCCACGTGCACATGTTAGTCTGTTATTTTCCTGTCAAGTTATTTGACTTCATTTCTTTACATCAATAGGGTGTTTGCTATATACTTTTCATCCCATATCAGTTTTCCCTCATATTGTCCTATCTAAAAAGTTGCTCTGCTAGTTTCATGTCATTCTTCTTCCAGAATGTTGAAATATGCAAAGTCTTTTCCTAAAGTGGCACCTTAAGTTGTCAGAAAGTGTTATGCTGTGCAAATTTGTATCAACGTATGGCCTATTAATAGATTTCTGGAATATTGAACATAGTAATCCTTCTACTTTCATTAGCTGTTGCTTAGTCTTTGTTTGACTTCTCACCTACAACGCCATAGTCTTTGCATAATGCGTTTGGAGGTTTTCATTTTGACCATGGTTAAAACGATAATGATTAGACTGTTCTTTTGTCAACCTTGACATTTTGTTGAGCTTTACTAATACTAATTGTGCTGTGAAGAAATTAGTCCTTCTAGTGTTGTTTAATTGATTGTTCTTTTCAAACTACTCACAATGACAGTCATTGTTTAAGCTGTTTCTAATTAAAGCCACTTTAATTATGATGAGCTAACTGATCATGTATCAGAGATATACTCTGGGTCAATGACAGAGGCATTTAAATACAAATTATAATACTACCCACAGTTCCAATTTTTCAAATCTTACTACATGTATATTAATTGATACAGAACATAGCGACCACTTCACATGGTTCCAGTAAAAAGTCAGGCCTGCAAGCAACATCGTCTGTTACAGCAGCCACTCCAGCACCTGGAAAAAACACTTCACTGAGCCCATCACCTTACTATGGATCAGGAGGGTCGAATCATGTTTTAGAACCACCGCCACCATACTTGTTTGTTGATAGTTTGAATCCTATTGAGGTGGTGATTAGTTTTACTGGGTTTTCTAAGTGGCTGGATCCACCACAGCCTATTATTCGAGAAAGAGACAAAGACAAAGATAGCAGTAGCAGTGTCTCTGGTAAGCTTTAATTCGGTATTATGGGCCAAAAAGACGATTAAAGTGGAAAAATTCGGCTTTTTGAAATCCTTTGTGTTCTTGTTTAGCAACATCCATTCGTTTCTATCACCACACAAGCTATGCCTCTTAGAAAATGGCTCATCATGATTTTGCTTCTTTTCCTGAAAATAATTGATTGCTTTTATCAGTAGTTGTAATGTCTTTGTCTTGARAGATCTTAAGGAAGTTATAACAGAAGAAAAACCAGCCCCATTAGTAGCAGGAAGTCTTGTTGCTGAGCCATATTCCTGGAAAAGTCTTGTTACTGGTCAGCCATGTGTACGGATTAGAAGCACTGGTACCAAGTGTGCCGTTATGTGTTTACCTGCAGGGTATGTAGATCTCAGGCAGCCCATCAGATAATGCACATTCGGTGTTTACAGATAAACAATAACATTTGTTTTTACGGAATCATCTTTTTAGACGCCACGTGTTACGGTTCTTGTTGCAAGCCCCTCATGGCTATCATGTGCAGCTTTGTTCCCAGACCTCTTTCATTTTTGGTGATGAGGATATTGTAATGTCAGCATTGACAAAGGCAAGTTGTTGTAAATRAGACTGATAATGACCGAAACATCAATAGACAACAAATAATAAATTATGCTAATAAGGGGCGGTGGACATTTCGCGAAGTTATCCTTTTGGTGGATTAATGTTGCTATTTGTTTTTGGCATTATAGCTTTATCGTCAATTTGTTTGTTGTTTTTTCTATGAACAGGAGAGTTGCAGATTCATGGAGCATGSTATGCATATGATTCATTCAGTTGGAAACCTTGTTGCCTCGTTTGCAGATCCTCCAGTTCCTAATCGACCAGAGCTGGACTTGGGCCTAAAAAGTGAATCGCTAGAAACTCAAGAAAAACACTTCAAAGTATTCATGAAATGTTTCTTCAAAGCTCTTAAATACAATCTTGGTGAAGCATATAATGAAGAAATGCATTTTGCATGGAAGGCTTTCGCATTTCAAGCAGCTTTGTGTGTGCGTCAGCATATTGCACACAGACCTTTGTCAGCAGCAGACATCACAAGAATAGGCTCACTTAAGCGCAGTTCATTGGGTAATATGTTAAATGAAGTCCCTGAGTCCTGGACCGGCCGCTCCTCCAACATTGATGAGGAAAGAGCAGCTACAAAGATCCAGGCGTTGTTCCGTGGACACTTTTTACGAAGGCTTGCTACAGCTTATGTTAATGGTAAATCATAGTTACTAATAGTAGTAGTAATAATAATAATAATTTATTATAGCATATCACAGAATTTCTATGCTTCACAGTGATTAAGAAAACAAATTGCTATATTTACAATTCTAAAAAGGGGAAAAAAAGAAGAAATTAACTAAATAATAAACATGGCTAATATGCTTCACAATAATTAAGAAATCAAAACACTATATTTACAACTCTGAAAAAAAAGAGAGAGAGAGAGAAAGAAATTAACTAATTAATAAACATGGCAAAATTAGCCAAAATGCTCMTGGAGAAGATAAGTTTTAAGTCTGGTTTTAAAGTTAGTGAGCGAGTCCGCATCACGCACATGTTGCATGTGGGAGGGCATTCCAGGCGCGTGGCGCAGCCACTGCAAAGGATCTTTCGCCATATGTTTTCGTGCGAGATTTTGGTACCACAAGTAGATTTTTGCTGCCACCAGAACGAAGACATCTGGAGCTATTGTGCCTCCTTAGGAGGGCCGTAATGTATTAGTAATACTAYGAGTATATTTTAAATTGTTTAAAGATGTGAGATGGTTTTCGTTATATTTACCTAATGAATTGTTAATGAATTTGATAGGTTCTGAGATACAGCAGCAAGTGTCTTCCACACTGACCAAAGCCTGGAGCGCTTTAGAACCAAACCTGGAAAACTTTGCCATTGAGATATTTAGACGTATGTTCAAAAAGGATTCAACACTCTTCCCTTTGTTTCCATTTTTCAAGGACGAATGGTCAAGAGTTGCTTATGCTGATTATACAGGTGGTTTCCCTGAGCAACCAGCTAACTCTTGGTTTGTTGTTTTTAGGTTTGTACAGAAAGTTTGGTTCATTCTGTGTTAGATGCATTTAATTTATTGAATTACATTCCAGAAATCAGAGTGATCATCTTTCCTGTTTTCTTTCTTTACTTTTTTATCTAAGTTATACAGTTTGGACAGAGTAAACACCGACCTCTGTCCATGCTCTAACTGTACTGACTACTGCTACTGCACTTTTATCTGTGTATTGGTATAATTCATTGTGGTTTATTTCAGGGAGGTGTTTGCAGTAGATGAGCCAGTGTTGATGGTCCCTAAACTATACATCAACCTTCCTACCTGTTTACTGAGGGTTGTTGATAATGATACCGGTGAAGAACTCTCCAGGGTGTTTGAAAGAGTTGCACCTAGTCAGATGAAGAGGAACAAGGTAGACTTTAATTTTATTGTATTTATTTGGTGCTAAGAAACTAATATTACGTTMAAATTTTTATTTTTAGCGTGGATACACATTCATTGCAGAAGCACGTACCCTCAATGCCATTCTACCCGCTGGAAAATTCCGTTTACGTGTTATAGGTTCGACAGAGCCCCTGCCCTACCCTCCACGYGAATCAGTAAACAGCACATTTGTACACAAAGAAATTCGTGATTACTACATTCCAAACAAGTACAACATTATATTCAGGTATACAGCCTTTTGCACAAATTATGAGACATTTTTATATATATAAATATACCTAACCAAATATCAAAAACACCCAAGAAATTATGGGATACCTTCGCTGATATTTTGTCTGTAACAACCTGATGCTAGGCAATCATGACAAAATATAATAGAGATATACCATAATTTCTGGGGTGTTTTTGATATTTGGTTAGGTATATTTATATATATAAAAATGTCTCATAATTTGTGCAAAAGGCTGTAACTATCAACAATCTTATTAGACACGTTATAAACCTTTCGTGACTGTAAGTATCATTTGAAGTTCTCGCAACATGAAACAAGTCAAAGCTAGAGTAGGGATGTTTAAAAACATTTTCCACTCTTCCAAATTTAGGTTTCGTTCAGAAGAGGTTTTCAATTTGCAGTAATTGATGCATTACATTTGGGTTAGTTATTTAACAGACAACGTAATGAAAGTGATCCATTATATTTTCATTCAGACACACAGTGAAAGTCTCAGATGATCACATGACAAGTGTTCAGCTAAGTACCTCCAAGCAAGATGTATATGTCAAACTACAAGTGAGCAGTTCCCTGTTTAAGAACAAAAAAGCATAATTTTGATGCAACTGTGTGTTGAGTTATAAATCGTTATGTTTAGTTTCTGTTATGGTATGTCATCAACCTATTTAATAGATCTTWTGTTTTCTGGAAGATTCTAGATCATGAAGTTGAAGTTGCTAGTACCACTGGCAAAGGGCATGCTGTTATCSCGGCATTCATCTTTTACCGGGATAGGACTGGAGAAGAGGAAGCTGATAAGCAAAGTAGAAGGGGTATTAGTTTGTATCCATGTTTCTTCTGATAAATCAAGTCGTAAATATCATTGTTTTTTGTGTCAAAATAATTTTGAATATTTTGAATTTTCAGGATGATTCATAAATATTTAGTAAAACTGATCTATTTTCTCTAGTTTTTAATTAAAAACGAAGTGTATTTTTACGTTTCTMTCAAAACGACGACTTTCAGTGAAAAACGAAGCTAGAATAGTTGTATTGATGTTTGTGTATATATTGGACTTCAGAGGAAAATCAATGGGAACTAATTGATTGTTTGCAACAATTTTTGTGGCTTAGGCTCAAGGCCTCCAACGTCAAATCGACCACGCTCCGGCAACAAGCGTCCACAGTCTGGTCGAAAAGCGGCATCATCTGCCACTCAAGGACGTTCAAAGAAAAGTGGTAAAGATTCATCGAGTTCATCAAGACCAACATCTCCGGTATGTCGGGGCTAACTTCACCACTTATGTAGGCAATGTGAAATAATATGTTATGTCTGAACAGAATGACAGAGTTGGCCTTAATCACATTAATTGCCTCCTTCTAAGCACTATAACTTTCTTTCATTTCTATATCGTCTTAATCACATTAGTCGCCTACCAAATGCGAATTAGCGATGTAGTCTTCCAGGGAGGCATACAGTACACTGCCTTTCCTCCCACAGTTAAAAACTASCTGTTAAGAATGTTCGCTACTATATGCTGTTGTACTTACTTACGTTATGAGTCTCACAGATTGGAATGACACTTTTCAATCTATCTAAAACGTTTTTATAATATCTCCTTATTCGTAGAACAACTGAGACTTTAATGAAGTAATATATTTATACTAAAGCAAGTATTTTTAGCAAAAGGGTTCAAAGTCGTATCTGTTAGATGATGAAGATCGACAAGAAATCCAAGATGAAGGTGATGCCGAGCCTGAGAAAAAGGTTGGCTTGATTCCTTAGAACTATTACTTATTTTGAATTACGTAATCATGTCTCATGTTCAAATATTATCATTTACTATATTATCATTTACCTAAGGTGCAAATAACACTTGATGAAATCATTTACATTTTCCCCTCAATTCTGGAATGAAAAATCTTGTGAAAGATGCCTGTCCCATTTATTCCTTTAGATACATAAATATATCATTCAAGCTCAAGTGCTTCGCGATAGCTGGCCATTGTCTAGAAATTCCTGGGACTTCGTCCAGATGATGAAAAACTTAGAACGTGATGACGCTGCAGGTAAAATGTTTCGTATTAACATGAGCGATGAGCAAACAGCTTTGTTTGTATTCAATTTCCTTTACTAGGCTTGATTCCTTCATACCAGTAACTGATGTGTGTTTCTTAGGAACAAATGAGCCTTCACAAAGAAACGAGAAATTGTCAGCTAGTACCAGCACCAAAGGTAAAAAAGGCAAAGAAGGTAAAGAAAGTCGATCAAGTAAGGATAAACCTTCGTCCAGACCATCTTCACAGCAACAGTTTGATTCAAGCAAACCCAACTGGATTTTACGAGTCTTTAGTGATGCAAGTGCTGTAAGTTTAACAAATTGCGTACTCATCCCTAGTTGATTAAAGGGCTACTTGGACGAAAAWTCCGAATCATTAGAAAAGACTTGGAAATCAAATAGAGCTATCCATATGGGTTTAATAATCATGAAGCAACAGATTTCAAGAAGATATTTATACAAATCCTTYATAATTTGGACAAAAAATGTTGGAGTAGATGACGTCATTTACTCCATCCTTTTGTTCTTCCATCTTTTGAATCAAAATTTATCTGATGTGGGATAATTCCAAAACAAATGTTTTCCCGTAATTGTTTTTAATAGATATCAATGAGTCATATAGTTGTATTACTTGAAGTTTTGAAATAAGGCCATTCTCATGCAAGTAGCACTTTAACTGTAAAGTTTTGAACACTATGACGTCAAGAGTGTGCCAATAAGACGTCATACAACGAAAAAAAGTGTGCAATTTTCTTTTGTCTGTTTGTTTGTTTGTTATTGTTGTTATTGTTGTTTTGCTTTGCTTTGTTGTTGTTATTTTTTGCTATTTTTAAGTTCCAAGTCTAAACATTAGGCCACATTCATACTTCGGACCACGCGCGCGATTCGGGATGGRATCACCTGGGTGTGTACTGACGCATTGGGCCAAGTAGCGCGCGAGAGTTCACATAAGTGCGGTAAAAATGTSCATATGTTCACTATACATTTATTTGAACTTATGAACAATATTTCGGTCAGGAGGAGCTAGAAGTCAAAAAAGACACAGAAAGACAAGACGAAATTAAAGCATTGAAACAAGCTTGGGAAGCAGCTGAACCAGGACGAGCAGCTAAGGTATTCACTTATCAACTCCACAGATTATGTATGGACTTCATCGGCTTGATAAGGATTTATCCCTTGTGTAAAGCGCTATTCACCAATCGGCCGCAGTGTCTTTTATTTTAAATCGGTTTTCATCGGTCATTTATTCGTTTATTCCTAATTATCAGGTTTTTAATATGATCTCATTGTGTGTATCGGCAGGCCAGACAGAGCCGTGCAAAGTTCTTAAGTGAGCACATGGTAAAAGCTGACAAGGACATGATTGAAGAAGAAAACCTCGATGATGATCAGCTTATTGATAAAGAAGCACCAAGTGACATATGTAATGACACTAAACATGAGTAATTCAAAAAGTGTTTTCTTGTCGTGATCTTATATTTTCTGTTTATAGTTACCGTGACGTCTCCGGTTCAATCCGAAGCCGAAGGGGAACTAACCTTAGTACCACCCCCTAAAGAACCTGACCAGATTCTGAAACCATTGGATCCCCCACGTTTTATCAGGTATCCTACATTTTATCTTTTTCTATAAGTTCTGATGTTTTTTGGGTTATCTATGTGACTATGCATCCCAATGTCCGTTAGTGTGTTTTTTAAAAGGTGTATGACTGTGTATTTATTTGCATTTCAGATCTCGTGGTGGGTTCCCTGTGTTGCTAGATGACCAAGAAGAAGAGCGAAGACAGCAGGAGCGCCAGCAAGTGTTTCGTCATTTCAAAGCCAGAAGGGAGGAGGTAGAAAACCGACGTGAAAAGGACAGAATAGAGAGGAATGTGACTAAAGAGAGACAACTACAAGATGCAGAGGAGATGCAGGTAACTACTACATTACAGACCCTCAGAACACAAAACAACTATACTACACTAGAAACCCTCTGTAACAAACAACTATACTACACTAGAAACCCTCTGTAACAAACAACTATACTACACTAGAAACCCTCGGTAACAAACAACTATACTACACTAAAAACCCTCTGTAATAATTAGAAACAATTGTACTACACTAAAAACACTGTGTAATAATTAGAAACAACTGTACTACACTAGAAACCCTCGGTAATATTAACAAACAACTGGACTACACTAAAAACCCTCTGGGGGCGGTGAGCGCAGAAGGCGCGATTTTTATAGGGGGTACCGGAGGCATCCGAAGTTGACTCTTTAACGTTTCCAACTTGATGCCGTCACAGTATAGTCGAGCTCTGATCATCGATTTTTTGTGTTTTTTATTTTAATCTTACCGATTTCTTATTAATTTTTCGGAAGCAAAAAATGGCGGGGGGGGGGGGGGGGGGGGGGGCGGGGGGCCCTCAGCACCCCCATCTGTCTCCGCGGCCCCTGCCGTAGCCATAACTAACTGTGTCTCTTCAGGCCGCACTCGACAAAGCTCGCCAAGAGATCACAGCAGCCAGGGAAAAGTACCGGCAAAAGTTCGTGGTAGCTGAAAAAGAAGAGCAGACAGATTCAGATAAACCTAAAGATCGGTCGCCGTCACCAGGAAGAAGTAAGAGTAGAAAAAGTGCATCTACCGCAGGTAAAGCAGGAAGAAAATCCGCTACAAAAGGAAAGAAAAAATAACAACTAACAATTATAAATTTTATATGAATTCAATTTTTGTACATTTTACTTTTTACTTTTGTTGTATATCTATAATTTCAGTATTTATAAAGTCGAAATACAGCAATTACAACTATTTATTTTAGGATAGTTTTTGTGTGTTTTGAGGAGTTTTTAATAAAACTAAAATATATATCGTAAAGATCACTTAATATAATAGTTTCCCTCGTCTGGTGTTCTATAAATATTTGAGTCTGGCTAGGGGTGCTAGAAGTCATGAATGACTTTTCGCGTTCACCAAGAAGGTCATGTAATTGATCTATTATTATATGAGGAGCGGGGTACGGAGATTTTAGACTCGACAGATACGTCAAAGCAAACAAGGTAAACAAAATACTATTAAGGCAAAATACTAGTAAAATAAGCAAACTGCAGAAAGTCATTTTTGTTACATTTACAAATTATGTTGTTTGAAGCTGATATAAGATAAGAAAAAGGAAAAATATGGGCAAAAAAGAAAGTTATAGAAAAAAAATTAATGGGGCTCAGACGGGAATCGAACCCGTGGCCTCTCGCACCCAAAGCGAGAATCATACCACTAGACCACTGAGCCATTTCTTTAGAAATTSGGGTGTAAAGTTTGTAAATATTCCTGTTATCTTGTTTCAAATAGCAGTTAACGACAACTTTTCGTTTCGTCGTTAAAAAGTTTCTGACTTAAAATGCTATAGCTTGAAAAAAAAAAAAAAAAAAATTCTGCGCACGAAAAAGCAGAACATGCAACAAGTTCTCTTCAACAGCTCCTGAAAAAAAAAAAAAAAAAAAATTCTGCGCACGAAAAAGCAGAACATGCAACAAGTTCTCTTCAACAGCTCCTGAATGCACTTGTTTCGTAACAGCAATTATGGCCGGTCACGCGAAATACATCATAATCGAAATACAAGACTAAATATTCCATTAACATTTTGACAACAAAAGCCCTGTTGGACTTCACCACGCTCGTATCACTCCGCGCTTGTATTTATCATTGGGGACGTTAGATTTGACAAAAATGACTCTGCGTCCTTTGAATTTTACAGCTCTGACTTCTTTTGTTAAACTACACGATCAAGCTTTTCGCAGACCAAACAAAAAAACCCACTTACAAGATTAGTGACCCCCTGAGGAATGAGGTAATCACTATCTGTAAAACAAAGAGTTTTAAACAGGTATCCTGCATTGATAAAATTGCTTCCACCTTATACCAACAACAACCTCAACAATAAATAGCGTTTCACCGGAAYRATACATTATATATTACATTGTGCTGGTCCTTTTCCACTAAACACGATCTGTTTCCTATTTCCCCCTGCTACCATTGACACTTTGCTAGTTCACGTTTTCAATTGAATATATTGAGTTTTGATGTAACACGAACAATGGCAAGTTAAAAAGTCACTTTGAATGTAAAAATGATATGTGCTAAATTAGTCCATACTAGGAAACAATAGCAATGTAACATCAATGTAAGGTTGATGTCCAAGTAGAAATTCAGAAATGAGTGGATATAAGGACCGCACCCAGTGTAATTGCAGCAGACTCCCGTTGTTACTACTTATACACTTGGATTCGCGAGCCTATCGATCCCACAACAGTTTTSGTTATTTGTCTTGTCCAGGTTATCATATCCCACTTGAACGAAGTTAAAAGCCAAAGGAAGACAATTGGGCAGCTTTACAAGTATTATTAAAATCAACAGAAGATAACAGAATGTATAAGGATGTCAGTCTGTCTCCATTTGCTTGCAACATGTTGCAATTCTGTACTTTTACTCAGCCGGCCGCGCGAAACCTCCTGAAACCTTTCCAACACCTCGATTACACACTTATTACGCTGATTCTCTGTGTTGTGTGTAAGTAGAGTTTGCAACTTCAGTGAAAGGTTTCAGTGTAAGTACAAAATTGAAGGTAAAGAAGCTGGACGTACTACTGAAACGACATTTTAGAAATGCCATTCAAATGTCGATGTAGAACTGTTATAGTTACGAAATCTCATGACAGTTATCTGAATTATCGAAATTGAAAACCTAAGTCAACCGCTGTCGACTAGCCATTCTCAAATCTTTCAACACAGTGATAGACGTAAATTTCTATTATTCATTTTTTGCGTACGTTTTCTTAGAAATATCCCATAAATTCCTGACGACCTAATAAGAGAAACAAAATTCTTTCAGTATTTTATTTAAATGCAATGTTAAAGTCGAATAGTATCTCCATAGTTATTAACTATGATTTCTTGTATTCCATTGAGYCATTGAGTCGACTCACTTTGATAACAGAGCTTTGCTAATGACTTCGGTAGTCTTTGATCTCTGGCGACAGCCTTCGTTTTCAAGCACGTCAACATTTGTCGGAAGACTTTTTACATAGAAAAGCTGCGTAATAATGAATGAAATCTTTTATCGGATCATTTGACACGCTCACACTACGAACTACGCTCTGTAAATTCAATAAAACACGATGTTTAACGATGGATACTAACGAATCTTTATTGTTTTACCTAAACACAAAACATAGCGTTCAAAGCACGATTGAATTATAAAGGAGAAATCAGTTACTACACATAATAACACGCACTAGCGAGGAACCATTAGTACTATGTGTTGATTATATTATATATTAACCGAATATCATTAAGAATACAGGTTGGGATTTACACGTAAAAGGTTTGTTTGTTTTTACTCATTACCGAATTGTTGCTACTAAACGATTCGACGGCCTCAATTCTTGGTTGAGCTGGGAGTAAATAAGTTTGAATTTTGCACTTAAAATCCATACCAGCTGACCACTGTTAATATATTTGGTTCTTTATTCATCCATCTTGTAAACAACTAAACACTTCGTCGTCCTTGTGTGAATTGAAAACATGTACTTCTTATTCACATCAGTGTTCTGTCGTGACCGTCTACACGGTCGTCTCGTTCGCGTTAGGGGTTTTCGGTGAGCGCCGTGGTTGGCCTTTGCCGCTTATTTTATAATAAAACTTTGCCCAAGAATGAAGAGTCTTTTTAGACAAGATCCACAAGCCTGATAGAATCCCTACAAACAGGGACATCACGAGTTTGATGACGAAAATGTTAAAGTTAGGTTCAGCGATCGCTTCATCTCTCTTGCCATAATACCAGTACTCTTTATTGGCGTACTCATAAAAATAACAAGAGATTACCGTCGTAGCAGGGATTGTCGCTAATACAGAGAAAATACCAATTCGCATAATGAATGGTTCTAGTTTATCAATCTTGACAGGCCCTGAACGCTGCACTGTGGTGCGGATTCTGAAAAGCGCCACAAAGCCAGCAAACAAAAATAATGTTCCTATTATCAAATAGGTAAACTGTGGACCCAACACAAACGCGGCAAGCGCGATTAAGTCTTGATTTCCGACGAAACACAACCCAGTTAGCTCGTCACCGTCCACTTTTCTGGTTATAAGGATAAATATAGTCTTAATGCACGGTAAAATCCAGGCAATAACATGGAAGAGGTTGGCGTATGATCCAATCGATTCATTTCCCCATTTCATGCCCGCAGAAAGAAACCATGTCAGTGCTAAAATAACCCACCAAATTGTCGCAGCCATACTAAAGAAGTACTGGATGAGAAATATCACTGCACAGCCGGTATTACGAAGACCATCTTGAATGTGGAATTGGATATTTGTGGCAGGATCGAAATCGCATGAAATAGCACTACGACCAGCAGCTAGTCGAATGATGAACGATAAAGAGTAAAAATTATAGCAAAGAGCRAACCATATTATTGAACGCTCTGGGTACTCGAATCGCTTGGTGTCGATCAAAAATGTTGCTAAAGTCCCTAAAGTCGACATGAAACAAACCACAGATAGTACTGTCATCCACACTTCGATAGTGTTTTTATCTGATGTCGAAAAAATCCCTTCTTCGTTGCATCGTACGGCACAAGWTTCAGTGCTTTCCACAAAGTAATAGTTGTCACTATTTTTAAATCTTCGACATTGTTCCGATCCCTTAGGTTTGGTACTTTTAGGCGAAGAAGTATCATTAGGAAGACCAACTCCACTATCTATTGTAGTTGGATGTTCTGTGAAGTTAGGACCTGGCATACACATATGTTTATCATTATTTATCGGCAAGAAACGCGAACAGTTCAATGGCTGTGGCCATGGAATCCCAAATTCACTTAGAACAGGTAAACAAGATTTGCGAACGTATTCGCACAGAGGCCGACAAGAAGTAATCATAATGTCTACTTTGTCTGTACACATTGGGGCATACGCTGAGCACAAGAAGAAAATCAACTGTTTTCCCCCACAACCTTGTTGAATGAGAGGTAAAAACTGCTTAAGTCTCGCCTCCGCTTCTCTCTGTGTTTCATGTCCGATAAGATTCGGCATCCGTGTGACATTATAGCCGGTACTCCTGCACAGACCTATCGAGATCTTCTCGCACTGCCATTCCTTGCGAGTTTGTGCCGAACCATACGTGAAAATAATGTGAAAAAGGAGTATTTGTAAGCAAGAAACAAGACGGCCTGTCATGCTGCTACGAGCTGAGTTCAATGGAAGATTACTCTGAGATTTCTCTCCTGAAGTAGTTGCAACTGGCTAAGCACCCTTGCCGTGTGTGTTCATCAACAGCTGTTTTCGAGAATTCTTAACCAGCTTATTTTGATGGAGATCACTTTTCTTTGAAATGACATTCGAAAACCACGAGTTTTTCTCAGCCAAATCGATCAGTTTGCCATGACTAACGAATACGGTTTTAGCAGATTGTAAAGTAAGCAATGATCTACATATGAATACCTTTGTATGTGTTATCAGACATCACACTAACCAGAGCCAATCACCATCAACTTGACTAATAATAAACCACGCCTCCTTACTCCTGTCAATGGCAGCTGTCAATTGAACTAATTTACGATGCGCTGTGATTGGCTCAAATTGTGTGCAAAGCAAACTTTCTAAATGCGGCTCTGTTATGTTTTCCATGCTGTTTACACAGCATTTGTTCTAAGACAGCTCGGGCTTTTCTTAGATTATTGATGAAAATAGGTAAAGGATGTAGCAGTCACTTTGAATCTGTTTTTCTTTGAGTTTTGCTATTGTTTTGGTCGCTTTGCTTTTCATGGGTACTGACGCATAAATCTTAGGAGAGGCARAAATTCGAAGTATATCTAATATTTTTAACCCCAGAACGTGCTGTACACTGTAGTGTATTTTTGTAATTTTGTCAACTTAGCTCAACGCACGTGACAAAATCACTAAAAGACTAAGGGCTGTTTGCTGAAAATTAGTTTCCTATTTTTAGTCGAGGTCATTGGTTGGAAGCTGATACCGAATGATTGAATTCTTAATACGTCCATGTGAATGAGATTATAACACTAGCTAATTAACAGAATAGCTTCTCTTTGGGAGACTTCCGCRCATTGATTCCCCTTTCACCCTCCTCTAAAACTTCAAGCATTGATTACAGGCTCGAAACTTTGAACTTCACGCTTTTAAATTGATATTAGTCCAGAACTGGACCCTTTTTTATCCTTGCGCGCGCGGAGTTAAAAACTATTATTTCGAATCAGCGTTCTCAATTTTCTTTAGCGCGCGCTTTGGTTTTTCAATTTTTCATAGAATATTATCTATAGTAATTGAGAAAAGAGGGTCCAGTTCTGGACTAAATTGATATCCGACGCAGAATGCTTCATTTTTTATATTTGAAGAGTGCATCCTGTTTTCTCTCTTTTTGGTTCTCCCATGGCCGTACCAGTGCTCATACCAGTCCTACTAAGATCCSTTCTCGTTCCGCAAATAAACATTGCTTCGGCAGTAAAAATAAGCTTTTATTGCAAAAAAGCTTTGCATGGACTTCCTGTGTAGCAACGCGAGGAACGCATCCATCCAGCCTGCATTCGTTGTTAAATCCAAAATATCTCGATAAGTTGCCTCCATAAGAATTGAGCTGTAAACAAAGAATTATTTATCGATATATTGGCTTGGAATTTGGTCCACGAAAGTATTGTTGGCTYCTTTGGGATTCCTGTGGTATAACGATTGCAGCAGGGATTCCTTTGTCTTCAGTCACGCAACTGTATCACCACTGTATGTGCGAACTTGGTTTGATCGCACATTAGATTGATTGATCGCACAGTGATGCCGTGATCCTGCATCAAGAGCAATGTCTGATACTTCTCCAAGATTAGATGTGGTTCGACGTTTGATAACGCCCATGTARTGTGAAGARACTTGCTATGTTATTGCACACACTTGGACGCCATCTTGCCTCCTGGGTTCTTTCTCCATATTTCGGTCCGTTATGCAAGAATCATTTAAAATCTATCCTCCCCTGTATCTAGTAAGTATTGGCACTGTTTGTGTAACAAGGAGCATTTTCTTGTGAGAATTCACTTGTAGGAGGGGGGAGTATTAACTTAATATTATGTGGCAAAATTAGAAATCTACACAACCCTCCASCCCCAAGTGGGACTTTWYAACCTACCTCCACCTTTTGCACCCAAAGSTGAAATTGACAAACATGAAGAACCAAATTGACACTCATCAAAAGCTAAGTTCCAAGACTGAAATTGCAAACATCATTATTAAATATTTATCTGGCAAGTAGTTTTGAAGAAAAAAAACAACAACAAAAAACAAAGCAAAACAAAAACGTGCTTTTAAGCATATTAACTAATTATGTTAAGGATCAATTTATGGAAATCTCAATCAAGGTGCAGCAAAAGGGAGGTTTTTTATGTCTTTGACATTGTAAACTTTGTTTTGTGCAGTAAATAACAATTTAGACTATTCAAAGATGCCAACTGTGGAAAATAGGAGGACAATTTATCACAAAAAACTCATAAATTTGTTTTTTACCACAAAAATACTCTATAATAAATTAGATAGCAATCCCAGAAAATAAATAACAATCTTGCAACCGTGATATGTACTTTTACTTACTATAGCTATCCACCAATCAGAAATAATTGAGAAAATTTACAGTTGTGGTATATATATTGTATTTAAACAGTACTGGGTTAATTAATTCAGCKCTTCCCTTTCTCAGGTTGCTGCTATTTTGAGGAAAGAGAAGTTTGAGTATTTTACCATGAGATTTTTCAAAGATGTTTTTCTATCTTCACTGGCTATTGCTATTAATGGCAGTGGTTTTGTAGCAGGAGTTTGCTTTACAAGGTACATAGCCATTATCAGTCCATGACCATGAATGAATATCTGAACCTTTTACATCACTACTTGATCTTCAATGCATTATGCATGGGATCCGTTTCTAGAGAAATCAAAAMAAATCTGTCATGTTTTGTACCAAACATATCCTATAATGAAACAGTTGTGTAAAAAGATAAARTTAACACTGTAAAAAAGTAGGTGAAACGACTTACTGACATTTTAGACGTTAATCCTTCGTCTAGTTTACCATGTGACGTCAAAGCAGCTTCATCTGGAGGACAAAACAAAAGARTTTTYDCCRCTTGGMAACTAGAATCCATTGTTTTGTCCTCCAGTTGGAGCTGCATTCCCATGAATTGCAAGGGGTCTATACATTAAGTACATGATGTAAAAGCTTCAGTGGTCTATTATATATTATATTGTTGAGCATGCATAATAAGTAAAAATAAAAACTGAAGGGAAGACTGCCTTTGGCTTTTTATAATTCCGAGTTAAGCAAAGAATTACCTGCTAGTCACTATTATATTAATGATTTTTGAGACCATCATCTGTAACTGTTGGAGATTCATGTAACTTGCATGTTACATGTATAATCTTCAGTAAAGATGGAAAACGAAATGAATCCCCAAGAAACATTTTCATCAGTTGATTGGGTTAGAACTAGAAAGTTCTGTTGAAAACAAGTGATGATTAATTTTCAGGTTCGATAACATGATATGATGGTACTGTATGTGATATGATATATTATGATGGCATGTGATAAGATTGTATATGATATGATATAATACTGGCATGTAGTAAGATTGTATGTGATGTGATATATAATAGTGGCATGTAGTAAGATTGCATGCGATATGATATATTATGATGGCATGTGATATGGTGTTATGTGATTAGATAGTATATGATGTGATGGTATGTAATATTGTGGGGTGTGGTTTATGGTAGGTGATATTGTGATGGTATCTATTATGATGGTATATGATATTGTGGAATGTGACTTGGTAGTATATGATTTGATAATATTTGTGGTACGTGATTTGATAATATTTGATATGATATATGCATAAGAGTCAATGCTCTTGTACCGTGAAACATAATCAAAGAAGTAGTAACTATTAGTTTTTATTTACTGACTAACTGTATTTAATAGTAGATATAACTGAACCAGAATAATTCYTGAAAACAAAAGGTAATACACATTGAGACTTGGAAGTTAGACAYCGTTACTAAATGCTACCTAATGAGGAAGGAGGAATTTGTTAAAAAATGTCACACACATAAGGAAAATTGTGCTTGCATTTTATAACTGGCATAAATAGCAAATATGTTCAGGAATCTCATCTCCTTGAACGGCCGCCTTCATACAATGTAGTTTTATCAGTGGGAGCAAAGTTGTCCCAGTCATTGTAAAGTTGTGAGGAAATSACTGAGCACTCATTAAAAACCTAATGTGGAAAAAAATAACCGTGCTGGCTGTAGAGGCCTGGGCASGGTAATAAATATGAATTGCGTTCACATGAAAATAAAGTTAGTGCAGTTGTCAAGTCTCTTGTGTATTGCCTTTTGCTTTCATGAATTATTCTGGTTCAGTGATATCAACTATTAGTCACTAAATAGACACTATTAATTATTACGTACTGTTTATTTTGATAATTTCATCGTATGTATGTTGAGCCCTATTTTTTCTAAACTATTCCTGGACCATGTCAGTAGAGGTATTACAAATGTGTGTGAAAATTTTAGACGAATTATGTMGAGTGTTACTTAAAATATGATCTCATATACACGAAGCAAGCTTTTTCAACGAAAACACTCAAGCTCAAAGTTAAAAATTATTATGTCTATTTCTATTGCATGTAGATCATTCGATTTCTGCGCTAGTGGACTTCATTCCTAATGCTACATTCATGTTAAGTTTGCTGAGGCAGAGCAATGATACTTAAAGTACAATTTAGTGCTAGTCTGCCGGATGCAAATGTCAATTATGTTAATTGATTTGGTGTGACAAGATGAGATGTGATACACAATATGATGTAATATTGTATATGATATGATCAGATGTGATATGATGTAATMGGGTATGATGTGACCTGGTATGTTGTGTAATATATGATATAAGGTATTGGGGTATGATGGGTGAGATGTGATTGACGTGAGGTAATGGATATGATGTGTTGTGATGTGTGAGATTATAGTTATGAGATATGGGGGTGTGATGTGATGTTGCTTGATGGGTGAGATGTGATGTTAATATTTGATGTGATATCATGTTATGTGTAAGATTTGATATAATGAGATGTGATTATGCAGTACATGATAATGTCCAGATGTCTGTCTATTTTGAGCACATCAGTTACAATAGTGCATTTGCTATTCATTTTTCACATCAAAAAATTGTTTGTAAAAATTGGATTTGTTTTCTTTACTCTCTTAACAGAAAAGTTTTAGGAAGATTTTATCTTTTAAGCATGGCATTTGTACCTGCATTACTGGCATCTTTTGCAGCAATTAATGTGGAAAGAAAAGAAAGACAGGGAATCCTTGCATTGTACATGTTTAATAATGTAAGACTTATAGTCTATTAATGTGTTGCCTTGTACAATGGATAATATGCACACATTTTTGCAGCTTTAAGTCATCTTTTGTTTGATATTTAGCTCACTGCAGAATTAATTTTTTGAAATAATCTTTTWTCTAGGCAATTGAGATGGTCTTCAATATGTTAAAGAAACGAGGGCTTATTTGTAGCATTCCCTTTGGTGAAGTATGAAATTTAACTAGTATAGAATCTTAGTATTTAGAACTTTTAAATGAAATGAATAGTCAGAAGCTCATGAACGCTACAGCGCTTTTAAAAGTGAGCAGCGCTCCCTCTCATCAGGCATATTACAATTTATTCAAGCGACTAGGTTTAAATACAGTTATAACAAATTAGCTTACTCTAAATATAGATATAACTACGCATTCTTATTTAAGTAGATGTTTAGTAGCACGCCTGCACTCACTTGGTAAGTTTGTTATATTTGTTCAGGACGCCTTATGAAAAGTACTTCATTAATTGTAAACCAAACTTAAGCACTCTGAACATATACGTAGCAAGCTCTACTCTACAGTATCAAGCACTCTTTGACATTCATAGTACACTGTGAATCTTAGTATTTAATATATTTTTCTTTATTTTCTATTCTATTATCATAAATTATGAGAATTGTTGAAATATCTAGTAAATATCATAATATCGAGTGCATGATGGGTAATCCCTCACGATGCCCTTAGTCCCTTGTCTTTGTAGTTTAGTTTTTTTTGGCGACAGACTTATCTGTAGTTCTGAACATTTTCTGGATGTCAACAATGAATTATTCTAGCAAACCCGCATGTTCCGGACAATATATGGATATAGATATTATGATATTTAGATATTTAGACAATCCTCATAATTTTTGCAAAAGGCTGTATAGTAAGCAATGAAGCAGTAGAATTAAAAAACACTATCCTCATTTTGAACTAGAAATGGAACAAAACGTTATTCACTTGCCAGTGTTAATGAAGCAAGAAGACAAACTAAATTAATTTATGTTACCGTCATTCCTAAGTCGGTTGTTTCTAGTGATGGATGGCACAGAGGGGAGAGGGGAGGGGGCGTTTAATAGACAGGGAGCGTTTGTTAGAAAGGGGCGTTTAATACAAACTTGTAAGCAWAGGGAAGGTGTTCATTAGATAGGAGGCATTCATTAGAAAGGGGGCGTTTATTAGATCATTTATGGTATTGATTGATATTGGTTATATCTGTTGTTGAATCTGGAGCATACTGTATTTACAAATTGATACAAACACTCATCAATGATTCAATTAGCAAAACCATTTAAAGGTYTCTTTTCTTTCAGGTTTTGCTGTTTTCTTTGACCACTGCAGTGATGATGTATCTATATAGGTGAGTACCAATTATTTTTCTTTATAATACACTTGTCAGATAATTGTTTTATATGCTAATATCAAGTCGCTTTGAGTATGAAGCACTTGAATTATAAAATAATTGAATTATSTAAAAAATAGACTGTCTATAGATAGCTCAAAAACTGATGAAGACATTAATTTTTAACTTGAAGATTGAAAAGAGTTATTGGAGGGGTCAAATCTGTCACTCACTCACTTTCCTGTAAACTTGAACCTGCGTTACTTGTGTTCAGAATTATCAATATATTTAAATTGCTTTATAGTAATTTATTCACTAATTTTCCYTTACTGATTTCCCTGTGCCATATTTCATTGAATTTATTTATTTTTTTGAAAATAAAGAAATAAAAGAAATATGTACTCATCTGGGTTTTGAACCTGGGCCCGTTGGGTCAGAAATCAAAGGCCCTACCACTCYGCCGTGTGTGATAATCTTGACCAAAAGCGGCTAGACTTTTCTATTAACTGGCAGGCGCTTGTCGCTGCTTGTCTAAAATCAAAGTTAAAATAATAATAATAAGATTTTAAAGTTAAAAACTACATTGGTTCATAAATTGTTTACTTAAAATTCTATTTGTTAAGTAACTATAATTTGATTCATCTTATCATTCGTCTATACACAATCAATCGTCGAGTTGTGTTACCAATAATTGTTGGCTTGATTTAAAATGTGTATTTTCAAAAGAATATGTATGTAATCATTCAAGGTATGCACATGCTCAGCCTCATTTTATATGCACTATCATTTTTGTACCARAAATTTATGTGTTTTTACTAATTTTTGATATAAATGCTATAATAATATTTAGTACTAGAGTTTTACACTTTCTTCTAACAGTGTTCTCTTATTTTGCAATGAATAAGACAGAATCAACAAATTAAAATAATAATTTTAARACTCAAAAATATAATTAATAATTTTTAATACTTAAAAATATGCAAAAATTGCTTGTAAGACATATGTTCTTGAATATTTGAAAATCAACTATTTTCAACATGGCAAATTTGATGGTTAACTGATTAGCGTAACTATATAGCAAGACGTGTAATATTGAAGAACAATATACTGTCTTTTATAGCAAAACAGTCTTATTCTTCACGAAGCGATCATGTCTTTTTATAGTGACATGAGCATCGATTGTGCAAATCGTAGAAACTGTCTCTTGCACATACAGACAATTGTTCATAAATACATCTAGCCATCTTTCTTCAATGCATACCATGATTCAAGATACTGTGAACTATTTTTAAATGTGGTAGTGCAATTAGCGTACTCTATTGGTGTTATTGAATGTTTTAGGAAAGACGATGGCTTGAAAAGAGGAGCTGTTAAATCTCTGATTAGGTTTTTCATTGGAACAACGAAACCAGAAGATGTGATCACTGTACGGACCGTCCATCACAGTAATAGTAAAATGCTCCAAGAAATCTCGATTGACTGGTACATGCCTCATGCATTGTTTATAGTACTGACATTTTCCACAAGTAATATTTGCACAGAGTACTCAGGCTGCACTGATTTCTAAGGAGGTGTTATTATTTACAAATTTCCAGTGTTGTGTTCAGTGCAGAGCTTGGGGAAATGTTCAGTCAGTGTTCAGTCAGTGTCAGGGGGGGGGGGGGGCTTTTGGATAGGTACGTGCCGCCAGCGGTCTAAAACCCTGATCCTGTTTAAGACACTAGAAAGTGGAAATCCATACCCTGTTCAAGACTAATTTGAAAAATAAGGAATAGCTATCTACGCCACAACCATGAAAACTGTAATTATACTGACATCCATCAAAGACAATAAG